TGATGGGCACACTCGAAATGGGTTAGGCCATGACACAACGGGTTGGCATATATATATATATATATATATATATATATAATATATATATTCAATGAAAAGGCAAACGAACGTCATGCCATGGTAGTTTAACATGGAATGAATGCACTCCAATCTTCAAATGTGAAAGTTTACCAATAAGGAAGAGCTTTTGTACTACGTCAGGGTCCTACTCAAGTTCTTGTGTGCAGCTGGACCGCTTGGACCTGACATGCACAGCCTAATACAAGGCTTTGAAGACAGATGAAACCTTACAAATGTTGTGCACTAGGCCCAGAAGAAAATGACTGCTTATGGGGCGTTAAGCACAAAGTTTACTTACATACGTGTGCAGGCGTGAAACACTGGGTGCTGTGGCTAGCATCCATGTGTCTCGCAGAGTGAATCGTGCGTCACGACCCAGTATCGCAGTTTAACGATGCTGGTCGAGTGCACAGTTTAACTGAGGTCAAATTTTCACATCTGTACAGAAAGGAACAGCTCACCAGTGAGGTCCAGTCAGCCGAGCAGACAATGAGAAGCTACGTGTCTAAGGACAAAACAGACTTGGTCGATAAACGGTAGAAAATGGAAAGAGTTCGCTTGTCGAACACAACAATCAACAGTGACCTGAATGATGAGAACCATCAAAATAATGCTTACTAATAAAAAAATGACTAAAGCACAGGCCTAAGAAAGGGGTTACCGATTCGGTTTCATTCCTAAGAAATCAAGAGAGGCGACTAATAAAAAGCGCAGCAAAGCACTTAGGAGTACTACATCTCCGAAGTACTGCGCTGCAAAATGCTTTCAATGATGCCCAACCGAACAAGAACGTTGAGAAACTACAAACCAAACGGAGGGCAAATTTTTTAAATATTTGGTTACCGGATTGTCCAACATATTCTCTGGTACTCTGAAGTGATGTAAATTCCAGCGTTTTTTGAATTTATGCAACCAGCCGTTCGAGGCACGGAAGCCTTCGATACCCATCGAAACTGCTTCCTCACTAGCCCGACGTTGAAGTACTGGTCCGGAGAGGGGAAGGCCGGATGTTTGTGCCTCCCGAAGCCAGACAAACACTCGGCGATTGAGTTCTTCGTTACGTGAACTTCGGGATCGTTTACGCGTGGGACAGAAATAGGCGGCGGAAACAATCTCACCTCGGTTGCTCAGAATGGTGGAGAGTGTGGATGCGGGTATATCGAAAATGCGAGCAATGTCAGTTTTCTTTTGACCTTCATCAACCGCTTTGATGATACGTAGCTTAGTTTCTAGAGTCAGTTGCCTCCGTTTTCTATTAGGTTCCATCATCAAGTTAACAAAGGGCGGTGGCGCGTGTATTCGCTATCGGATGAACGAAGCTGTAGAACGAAACGATGAAAACCGGGCACAGGCACAAGCACGCAACCGAGGTTGCCACCATTAGATGAGCCAGATAAATACGGCTACACACTGGATTGCTGGCTTGCCTATATCGGCCTTACGCTTGTGGGAAAGCTGGCGATAATGTCAACCTGCCGCGTTCGGAGGTCACTAGACTAACACAACATGCCTCACAGACAGCGGAACGGCATACACGAACGCACAAACGGACAGAAAATCACGCACAGGAGAGGCGACGGAGACTGACTACGAATTTGATTCGTTTTCGGGGAGTTTGGACTATGCGCGGCAAGCCGAGAAGTGGGCGACAAGAGACCTCAGGTCTATGGGCAAAAGATGGATAAACAGACATACAGACAAAATGAAAGAACGAATGGAATACGCTATAGGGGAGTGCGCACTTCATGCACGAGAGTTTCCCACCCAATCAACACAGAGTGGGATTAATGGTCAGTTGAGGTTTGCCAGGCGCACGCTGACGGGCTCAAGTTTATGCGAATCGGCCGACTCGACTGAGTCACTCGGAGCCAAGACTGTCGTGTCAGGAGTCAACAGATCGAGGTTTGTGAGTGGCTGTTAAATGATAACACAGAGCGACGCCACAAAGAATAATGCACTTTTGGATTCATATCCACCTCTGACAATGGAAAGAGCTGTCTCTTCGTGTTTGCAAACGCATAGGTATGTATCATTTCCACGGTTGACGAACTTATCCTTCCAGTTAATGTTTGTTTCAGTGAAGTTGATTTCCAATAATGTGTCCTTCAGAACTCATGCTAAGCGTGCGAAACTGAAAATATCCGTGATGCGCACGCGAAAACGGACGAGACGGAAAAGGTCCGCATTATCTTCGAAAGTTATCCACAGCCACGTCTAGATATGTGATCCGAAACTTGACGTCTTCAAGATCGCCCGGCTCTTTTTCTTCCGGGTGACATACTGGATAACGCCGGCAAGAATAGCATAACACGCTAGCAGTAACAATTAAAATACACGGTAAAGTCCAAAATAAGCACTAATACATCTGCTGAGGTCTTGGATCACATATACGATCATCATTCCGCATTCTAATCGTGGCACCCCATATTGCACAGTTATGAAAAAATGCAACCTCAGAGACTACGTCTGCCTAATAGGTATGGAAAAACCGGTAGTGTGCTGTCGAAGAGCGTTCAACGACATGATGAATGTGTGCCGTCAAGAAAATATATTGCGATCCCTTCAATATCATTCCAACTAAAACATGAAGCTGTCCCGGTGCAGTGCACTCAAGTGAAGGACATCAGAAAACGAGAGGGAGTTTCACGACAAATGAGTGTATTTTATCAACTGCGTACAAGTTAGTGCTCAAGTGGAATCTAAGACTGATGCCCACTCGATGAGCTCTGAGATAACGAAATCCAGTGGTGTGCTATCGAAAAAAATCGACTGCCGACTGAATTACGGTCGTCCTTTCCACTCATTATCACCATCATCATCGACAGCATGACATCAGTGTTCAACACCGATGCTTCACTGCCGTACACTAGACTACTCTGACGGTGGACACTCTTTCGATAATTCATGAAGGGATATGAGTCTTGCAACTTAGATAGTGATAGTATTGAAATCGATTCCTTCAAATTTGCAGTGTCAGAAATTGTATTGTTTCCGGCCTGAGGGTGGGACAAAAAACCTTCCCAAGCATTCCTCTCTACCCTTAGCCATCTTTGTACCATACAGAAGTCAGTTTTTGCTACAGCACGCGAGTTCGTGGTTTCTAAACAGCGCATTGAACGGTTTGGTTTAGTGATTTGGGAGACAGATGCCTGTCCCGTGTAGCCAATCGCAATTGGAGGTTGTGTGGAAGTTACTGCAACACATTCTTTCGTTCCGGTTCAGTTCATTTCATCAGCAATAAACCACGTACCAAGGGTACGTTGCTTTCAGCTGCTATAGTCCCCGTCATCGCAAAATGCGAGAACTGGGGAGACAAGGCGGAGCATCGGAAGTCCGCACCGAACCAACCTAATCACTTGAAGAAACATAAAAATTGGGCAGCTACGCATTGCAGGCAACTGACTGACTGTATGACGAACATAAAAATTGGGCAGCATTGCAGGCAACTGACTGACTGTATGACCGAGACACGACTGCTAGTGTCATTAGCCATTGTTGGAATGAGTCCCGTGGTCCCCATCCGGGGAGGTGACAGTTATAGACCCCACTGAGTTCATTGGTTAGCCCCTCCATACTATGCTGCCAGGTCATACACTGTCTACCTCTCGGCTGCTTCCACTCAGCACAGGGTGGGCGAAAAAACCCTCTGGGGAAGATGTGCCAATGGGATGCGAAGCACGTGTCCTAACCTGCGCAACCTATGAAGCGTGAGCGGCTCACTCAGCGTCCCCTCTTTCTAAAACTATCTGGTGTGCCTCAGCACTGCTAATGCGGTATTTCCATCACATCCAACAAATAATTCGCTAATATCGACGGACAAACATCGATAAGTTTCGTACACAACTTGCACAGGCCACGTGTCTGGTCCACAAATCAGTATGGATTGCACCGAAGTAATGTATACCCAGCTCTTCATTGATGAACTGACGTCACTTCAACGCCATTGTTGTTGAAAGTTGTGAAAAGTTGTCTTGACGATTTCACTTTGAGGGTTTGTCTCGTCACCAGCCAGTTCATCACAATTTATACAACCACCCACATCAACTAGTTGGTCTTCTCCATCTGGGGAGGTGACAGTTGTAGACCTCACTGAGTTCATTGGTTAGCCCCTCCATACTATGCTGCCAGGTCATACACTGTCTACCTCTCGGCTGCTTCCACTCAGCACAGGGGGGGCGAAAAAACCCCCCGGGGAAGATGTGCCAATGGGATGCGAAGCACGCACGTGTCCTAGCGCAACCTATGAAGCGTGAGCGGCTCACTCAGCGTCCCCTCTTTCTAAAACTATCTGGTGTGCCTCAGCACTGCTAATGCGGTATTTCCATCACATCCAACAAATAATTCGCTAATATCGACGGACAAACATCGATAAGTTTCGTACACAACTTGCACAGGCCACGTGTCTGGTCCACAAATCAGTATGGATTGCACCGAAGTAATGTATACCCAGCTCTTCATTGATGAACTGACGTCACTTCAACGCCATTGTTGTTGAAAGTTGTGAAAAGTTGTCTTGACGATTTCACTTTGAGGGTTTGTCTCGTCACCAGCCAGTTCATCACAATTTATACAACTATCCACATCAACTAGTTGGTCTTCGAGCATGAGGTTTAGGTATGATCCCACCCAGTATTGTAGCAGCACTTTACACTTTGCAGGTGTGAAGCGAAATTACTTTATTTAAAATAACCCACATCGCCAAAGGATTTAAACCAAGGTAGGAATATCGTCTGCATAATTTGTGAGCGAATGCTTCGGGAGCATTTCAATCCCCGAGGTTTCAGGGCAGGCACAGAAGTCTCAAGCAGCACGTTAATAAGAAGGTCGAAAAGGAATGGTGAGAAGGCAACCTTGTCTTACACCAATGGATATGTTGAAGTCGGGTGAAAGCTTGCCGTATACTCTCGCACGCTCACGGGAGGGGGGGAACTTCGATCGCTAAACAATGCTAAGGTTTCTGACGATCGGCAGAGTCAAAAGCAGATTTCGGATCAGGGAAAGCAACCATCGCTTGACATTTGAAGGCAGTGCTGTTCAAGGTAAAGATATGGTCGATGAATCCTCGAACGGGGCAAAACCCAGCTTGATCCTCACAAGTTTGTCTCACCAATAATCTACCAGACAGCGCAGAGTAATTCCACAGAACACATCAGATGGTACAGCTATTAGGCTGAGAGCCTATCGTTTGTTTGTGGCCAAAATCATACTGTGAGGTAAGGTCGAGCACCAATCGATAAACACATCCACCCGATGTTCATATTCGGTAGTGCCTGGATAGGCAGGGTGCCGTAAACTCAACAGCTGCACTTGGACCTTGCACATTCAGACAGAAGTGCAGATACCTTGTATCGTTAAAGCTGATGGTTGGTTACGCGAACAAGTTTTGATATGACGACCTACAAACACTGGCCGGGAAGAAATTGGACCAGTTTGGTTATAAGATCCGCCTTCGCAGTTTGCTGTCCAGATGTAATGTAGTGCATCAGCGCGTTAGGAACTTGAACCCGCTCGTCTACAATTTCACGATTGGAAATGAGTAACCGGTATATTAGGTCAAAGATCCACCAGTTAGAAACACGGTCCAGTGCGCTGTTGGATGGTCCTTGTCCAAGTCAGCAAGACATTCCTAATTATGATAGAAACTTTAACGATAAGCAAATGGGGGCGTTAAAAATATCAATGAATGCGGGGTAGCTATGAAGTCTGAAGACCAATATCATCGCTAATTCTTGGGGTGCTAGTGAATTTCCACCTAACACCGCAGATGTGCACCGAGTGTTGGGACGGATACTTATGCAACCTTCTTGGTCAGATCACGCCAATAAGTTAGCTAGCAAAATCATTTAGACAAACGCCACACTGGATGAGACTATCGGGTGCACTATGTTCCAGGATTTTGCGCTCTGTGCGCATTAGCCGTGAGAAAGAGAAGCTTGAATACGATATTGTTGTTGCAAACCCCATGGACTGGAGCGTTTGAAATAGATCCCGAACGACGATAAAATGCATCAGTTTGTCCGGACGGAGAAGTGAAAAAAAGCTTACTCCAACGCACCCATGATATGGTTTGGTGCGTTCTACGCAGTATGGGTAGGATAATAGTGTACAAATAGTATAAATCCGGGATCTGACCCACTGCGATGTAGTGGTGCCTTCCTTTGGGTAATGTCCCTTCAACACACGCCTTCACTTCTGGATAATACCCACCTGACCAGTATACTGCAAGCCCTCTCTAGCCAATAAAGGCGACTCACCTCTGGTAATTTAACCGCTAATACCGGCTTCAGTCGCTCCGGAAGCAAACATTTGGCATGTCCACAGAAAAAAGAGTGAACGTATGAATTTTCCAATGTGTGTATGAGCATTGTGTGGTGGTCCCTTCAACACCCACGGGCATGGTTTCAATCTCCTACCAAGGGACACTTGCTGGTGCTGCCTCAATTTTTCCGCCCTCTGTCTTTGGCCGATAAACCACTAAATAGGTTGTGTGATAAGTGAAACGCGATAAGCAAACAGAAGTCCATTGACATACCGTTTATCTCTAAAGACTAATGAATCTTCCAACCATATGACGTCCCATTTACAACAATTAAGAGCCCGCTGTAGCAAGAATGAATATTCTTTATAGGTTTGTTCATTGTTGGTGACAGTGATGACAACGACGGAAACACTTTCAGTGCTGTTTGTCACTTAATTCTATGATACAGAAAGTGCAGGTGGGATGCAGCATGGAACGAACCAAAGTATCCGACCGTAAAGAGCCTACTTGAGACAATGTGAAGACTCCCTAATGTCATGTGGTCTTTGGAGAGGGAACAGAGAGAGTCTGACAAGGCAAGGCATCAAGTGCAGTGCTTTATAGGATCAGATAGTGACAAAAAGCCCAAGACAACGACGAAACGTATGCTTCCATACATAAGACCTAATCTGAGCTGGTAATCACCTCAGTGGCCTGTGTAAATACAGGACAAGACTTGAAGGCAGACCTCTCCCCCATGCACACCCTAACAACAAACAATAACTTTCAGTGGAAAATGGTGCAACACTCCTTGGGCCATTTGCCCAAGACAACGACGAAACTTATGCTTTCATACATAAGACCTAATCTGAGCTGGTGATCACCTCAGTGGCCTGTGTACATACAGGACAAGACTTGAAGGCAGACCTCTCCCCCATGCACACCCTAACAACAAACAATAACTTTCAGTGGAAAATGGTGCAACACTCACCTCGATCGTTTCGTTGAGCAGGACGGAAGCCGAACGATTATTTGTATGCATTCGATTGACATGATCAAGCAGCAGAATTCGGGAAGGAGATTTGACAAAGCAACCGGGGGCTGAGCAGTGTACGAGGGAACGGACAGAACGCCTAAGATGACTAGACCATAAGGAAAGGGTTGGGAATGATCGCAAGCAATGAGGGCATTTGAATGTGCTCTGATGTTGCGCCTCTGTGGGATGCTGGGCCAACCAGTGTGCCTCCAAAAGTGTGAATTGGTTCGTACAAAAGCGACTGGAACATTCAGGTTCAACAGGGCAAGCATAGATGCCACCAGTTCCCTGCCGGGGTAAGAAATGTTGCACCAGATGGGTTACGAACCGATCAGAATAGACCTGCCATCCACAGTAAACGCATGAGAGTTGGGTTAGTTGAGCGTGTTGGTCAGATATATGGGCCTGGAAGTCTGAAACATCCGAGAAAGAGGTGGTCCGTTGTAAAGCTGAGTTCCGATCTGTACATGCGGAGCAAATGAAGCAGCCAGCAGAACGCTCGACGAGTTTGATGTATTTGCTGAGTAGCTGATGCACCAACCGTGGATTTGTGGTGGTGATCGGAGTGCTCTGTTGAATAGCTGCCCCAGGATGTCCACTCATAGACTCATTCGGAACATTGGTCGTTTCAGACTGAAGAAAAAAAGAAAGCTATATGTTCACAAAATGGAAAAGCGGGTCAAACTAACGCAAACAACTTAAAACTTGTCATTCAGGATGCCAATCACGCAGTCCATAAACACCAAACTGCGTGACGCGAATGAGTTACACTATACGTTATGTAAGTCCGAATTAGTCACACCGCTTAACCTCAACCCAAACACTTATCCGGAAGGTTGCAGCCTAGATTTCGCCTCGAGATGATTTCCGATGAGGATAAAACAGCTGTTCAAATGTTATTGGATTTTCACCGCGGGTCAACCCAAGTTTGTGGGATGAACTCCCAAGCGGAAATACAAATGAGATATGGGATGAGGCTCTGGCGAACCAACCGAAAGTAAAAGAATCCAAATAAGCGAGAGCTAGTAGTGTAGTGTTGAATACGGATTGTTTTCTAGACTCCAAGTTTCCATAGAAAGCAGTTGCCACCTATAAGCAACGCAACCATAGTTCAGTTGATCCAACAGGAAAATTAATGACGCAGAGGCTGAACCCTGCCTGTTCGATCGTTCAACATTGACTGCTCATCTCAAAGCTGGACGGCTCGGCGATCCGCTTGCCGAGGGATTGTACAAGCGGATAGTAATGTTATCGGGCGCCAACAAATGTGCAAATCAATGCAGAGAAAGCCAGTTTAGCTGACTCGTGGAGAGAACGATGATGATGAGTGCAATACACGTGAGGATATCATGCTGAGGCGCATGTGTGGGCATGCTTGCCTGTAAGGTCCGAAACTTGCCCTCACTTTTCGAAAACATACCGGGAGACTCTAATAATAATAGCAATAGTAATAATAATTAACATTAATAATAATAATAATATTAACAATAATAATCGTTCAGCTGCAACATTCTTTCGGTATCTAGCTGACATGCCACCCGAAGGGAGCACGAGGACTGAGATACTGTCAGGTTGCCTAAACCTTGACAGGAGCAGTCGAAGTGCTGAGGTTGGGCTCGAACCACGGACCTCCAGGGCAGATTCAAGTGTATACTTAAGCGGTTAGAGCAGACCAGATGAGCAGTGAGCTGAGGCAAACAAGACAGGTTTCTCGATTGATCGTGGGCACAGAGAAGAAACGAAATGACGAAAAAGTGAGTCATTCTGAATAATCGCGCTGACGGCATAGAGGAATAAGGTATAAAAAACGTAAGATAAAACGGCCACACAGAGCTCCGATTTTGAAGCGAAGCAAATGCGATTAGGACGTATTTCCATTACCTTTGAAAAAGATGTAAATTAAAAACTGGACTGGTACGTCAATAGGGACAGAGTCGGGTGGCTTATACAGTCCTGAACAATCTGAGTTTGGGACTTGAAAATATATTAAATGAATCATGACGCCATCAAGGTCCGTGGGCGAATGGGGTCAGCCCACCGATACAGGATGATCGAAGCAGCGTGGATGGATCTAAAGTTTCAGTCAAGAGATGGTTTGAACGAGGCATGCAAGCCAACAGGTGTCAACGAGCGACAGATAGGTAAGACGAAACTTAAGTGCGCATTTACGAACAGCCACTCCGCTTTTCTGTAGACGTGCGACTGCGTCAGACCGTCGTGCACATGGCCGTTCAAATGTTCAACTCATTCAGGATGCGAACGTGGACATTACCGATAGTTGTTCATTGATAGTTCAGGGTAGGTGACTTTGAGCGGACTAGAAGGCGACCTCACGCGACGTTTCGTGAACAAGATGGTTAGCGATATTCCAGATATCGCAGCATATTTCCATAAAGGAAAATACCCATAAGGTTGCTGAAAATCCTCACCAAGGAATGTGACTACCTGATGAACCCCAAGAAGGGCGATATATCGAATACCGTAGCAACTGAAGCATGAGGCAGCCTTTGTGCAACGCATTCAGTTGAAGAACATCATTAGACGGGAGATTCTGTTGAGCAGTTCGTGAAGAACAAATTGATATGCGAACCAGTGTATTTGTGGAAACTGGCTCTTTTGGACTTGACGAAACGGGAAGGACTAAATTTGTTGGAACGAACCACGAAGTCGCCAGACAAATTTGTGACCATAAAGCTGAGACAGGATAAACCAATTCACGACCATCTGACACCTGTTGGATTTTGCGGGACAATAGAATCTCAGTCTTCAACACTCTTCGACAGCAAACAGTCGACACGTGACAGAGGTATGACCTATTTGAAGTTCAAAAATCCGAAAAATGAGAAAAGTGGCCAGAGTTCGGCCACGATGAATATTTTGCATTATTTGAGTTCCTGTTGAAAGATTGGATGAATAGTTGGAGCCTGTATCTCGAACATTCGACGAAAAGATCTGCTTATTGTGTGGAGTAATCGACTAGAAAAAATCAGATGTGCTCGTCACTCACTATCCGATCTACGGCTTTATCACCCTTTGTCATAGGTTGTACCGATGGAATTCAAAAGATGACCCACGAAGAATCTCTGAAGAAATCTAAAGAGGATTCGATATGAAGTTTAGGTGTCCGAAGGAGTGTTCAACTTCTGACATGAAAAGCGAAGCGCTCCGAAGCTTTATTTCACACAGTCGTTTCGAACAGTTTGAGATTCTTGTCGGACCATCTGCAAATTTTCCCGCAAAATGACGAGAATTCTTATGGTGATAAAGCTATGACAAACAGCTGTGACTGAGCCTTTTGCAATTGAAATGAGCGCAGTGCTGCTCTTTATGAAGCCAATGCGAAATGTGAGGACCGCACAAAAATACACAAAAGCACTGCGCATTCAAGCCTCTGTTCCACCGTGAATGTATCGTGCTAGTGAACTAGCGCTGAATTGGTAAATTCGGGCGACAAAAACGAGACCACTCAACCCTGCACTGACGATGTCACCTCAATTGGTGATGGAACGTTTGCACTCCAACTGACAAGCTCGGCGAACAGACCAACAACCAAACAGCGCACCCGAGCTACCGACATTCCACAACATTGCTAACGAGCCAGTAAATCGCATGGAACTTGTACAGATATCTTTTCGTTGTGTCAGGCTGGTAGACCTTGACCGAGGAAGTCACGCATCAATATATGTAGTAGGACAGCACCATCCGTGATTCAATATTGAATAAGGCCCTAAGCACAAGCAGTTTCAAATCCTCGAGGAACTGGAGCGAGTGAAAGGAAATCTTACCGAAGAAACACTAGCATCGGCTAGTCAGACATGCACGCAGTACAATCAGCAGTGCCACATTATCCGTGATTCTTGAATAAGGCCCTAAGCACAAGCAGTTTCAAATCCTCGAGGAACTGGAGCGAGTGAAAGGAAATCTTACCGAAGAAACACTAGCATCGGCTAGTCAGACATGCACGCAGTACAATCAGCAGTGCCACATTTCTCAGCAACTCCATTTCTGTTCTCGCTAGGACTGGTGAGCGGGACACTGAATCTAGACTGTGGATGTTTCGTTTGTTACAGACAGTTATCGGTACAGTACCTGTTCTTTACAAGAAACAGTTCGGAAGCACTCATACCGTTTCTTCCTTCGATGTATTGCTCGGCTGAAGACTTGCAAAAAAAAACAGGACAACATAAGGCTGTGAAAACTGCACTTTCTAACCCTTAAGGAGTACACAAATTTTAGAAACAGTCGTGCCACGAAAAATAGGCCAAGTACCGTCATCGGCACACTGGCATCCAAGTTGGACGAACAACCAATCAATCATTTGTTGTTCGGAATGAAAGTGCTCCCGAATGGATTTTAGAAGTCCTCGTATGTTGCTTCTGATTACCATTCGTTTTGGATTAGGCATCAAACGGAGCGATAGCTAGCTGCGTACATACGTAGGCAATCTTTCGGCGACAGTCGTGCTTCTTTCAGATGGGACGGATAAAGATAACTTAAGCCGGTATCAAAACACGAGTTTAACGAATGATGCCGCCCTCGTGACGATCAATTGTCGTGCCTTGACTTGATTTCGATAGATAGAACACATTCCATTGTTTCACCTCGCGACCGAACTGAGGTCAAGGTGACAGATGAAGCTCTGAATCACTCACTCTGATTGTTTCACCTCTGCGTATGCGTCTTCGGTTGCAAGACTATCTGGGGGAAAGTGTTCATAAGGTGAAAATCGAGCTTTCCTGTGAGGAGAAAGTACCGTTGTGACCAAGTCGGTCACTCTGGCAAAAAAAGCGCAGACCTGATTTCATTTTGAATTGATGTTACTCCTACGATCACCAACCACTGCTAAATTAGGGGGTGGTTTTATGCTTCCTATTTCACTTACGCCATTCGGAAATTCGCGAAATCGGAGCTTGTCTTCTGTGCGTTCACTTGCAAATTTTTAACGAGTGGAGATTAAGATTACTTTACAAACATGGTGACCGTATGCTTGTGTTGGATACTGTATGTGACCATGTGCCGGAAATACTTTGGAGTACAGTTCCAGCGACATCTATCGAAATCTTAATGTCAGTTTTAACTAATAGTGAGGCCAGGAACCAGTTCATACGGGTCCTGGCTTAGGATCCCAGCAGCAATCGGACCTCATTACCAGCAAACAATACAAATGCTCACTGAATTGACGTATGAAGTTATAAACCTGGATCTTGTAAGGCCACATAGACATTCAAACATACCTTAGCACTGTCACCGAGGGAGCGTTGGTGGCTCATGTTGCATACATGGTATTAGGTCTGTTTGCTGAGACCAACGACCGTCCACATAAACTGAGTTACAGCAAGCTGACAACGGCGGTCCATGTGAAGGCCACCCCTTGCATGTAAAAACGGAGCGCGCTGACAGGGACAGCAGGTAGACACGGTCTTGGGAACAGAAACTATCCCAACAGAACAGAAGCGTTTGTTTTTTCATGAACTGACTAAACGGCTAGGTTAAGTGGAGGTGGGTGACAGCAAGCTAAAACGGCGGTCCATGTGAAGGCCACCCCCTGCACGTAAAAACGGCGCGCGCTGACAGGGACAGCAGGTAGACACGGTCTTGGGAACAGAAACTACCCCAACAGAACAGAAGCGTTTGTTTTTTCATGAACTGACTAAACGGCTAGGTTAAGTGGAGGTGGGTGCTTCCCTCATCGTTGTTACTGTCCACAACATCACTTTGGCGGAAGTGAACAAAGGGTCTGATAGGTTACACTGGAGATCGGCACCGACAACTAACTCAACCTAAGGGGCAATCCGCACGTCCGCAATAGTTGTGAGGCGTAATGGAGACGAGAAACAAAACCTGTTGCGCTCGTTCCCTCGGTTATTATTCATGGTTTAAGGGAGCAGTTTTGTCTTGTTTTCAGCCAAAGACCTTGAAAACGAGAATGAGCACGCGACAGAGCAACGGCGTGGGCGGCATACAATGGACAGCGAGCTTTATTCGCTAACTGATCAACCGGAAGGAATGACCGAATGACTGAAACATCCCTTTAGCCTACCGAAAATTATCCATCCCCTAAGAGAAAAAACGGAGTTGACTTCAGCATAGCCTTCCTAAAGTTGCCAAACCGACCCCGTCACTGTTTCTCACAGTAAATCAGGACAGCTCCGTAGCGGTTATCCAGCAATCCCGACGACAATCAATACAAATAAATCATCGCAAAAACGTGCACCGTAAAACCCAGGAAAACAGTTTACCTGACAGTAATTGAGCGCTGACAAAGTGGAGGTATTCTCCGCAACAGGAGCTGCAGCATCCGTATCGGATATGGGGATAGCTGGAATGAGGCGTTGGAGCCGTACATTGTTCGGATCAAGAATGACAACAACTCGACTGAGTAAACGCTTACAGAACTCTGCGTCGGACAGACCGAGGGCAGTCTGATGTACAGATCCAGTGATGAGCCGACCAGCCTCGTCAACTAACTCCGTGTCCGGGCCGGCTGAGACCTGTTTGGCACCCGGATTGGTGCGAGCTATTTTCAATGCAATTAGTTTGTTGCGTCGAAGCTCCGACCACGGTGGGTAATCAACGGCGAACTTCCTGTGGTGCGTCTCATAATGTCGTTTGAGATTACATGATTTGAAATGTGTCAAAGAGACGTTACATATTAAACACAAGGGTCTCCCTTCATGATTGATGAATGCGAAATCTTGCTCCCATTTGGGATTGAAATTACGCCTCCGATCTTTCAATCGCCGTTTCTCACTGGCAGTAGGGGATGACATAACAAAACAAGGAACAATTATCCGAGGAAAAACAGAGGTCGTAACAGCGATTTGTGGATCGTGCAATGCCGAACGACCAGACAACGCCACAGCTCTCGGTCTGGCAGGTGAATGAGGCCGGCTTTCGACGCACGGGACAGAGGTTCACTTAGAATCAATGAGGGCAGAGAATGCCGGGGTGAGAGAGACAGTGCTGTGTGCCTGTCTGTACTGGAGTGCGCGACGAAAATTATCTGCGAAGGGGTGGTTGGCATCGGCTCGCGAGCCACACTGGCCTGTGAAACATGTTGGGCACGGGAGAGCTGAGCCGTCCAACCAGGTCATAAGCTTCGCCTTATGGCTGTCGTACACACGTACTGACGCACACTAACAGGCGCACATCACGCAAATTCATGCACGCACACAAGCGATGATTCTCGTCCTTACCACTGTCGAGCCGCTATGATGCGCGCAGACAGGCCGGTGTGCACACGTGTGTCTGACCTCCATCAAAAAGGTGTGTGATAGAGATGTGGCTCGCGGGCCAGGAAAGACGACACAAGGAGAGACAGACACACGGAAAACGACGATCCGGTTGGTCAATCGCCTTCTTTGGACAAACAGCACAAACCCGAAGCAAACGGGGGAAAGGCTGGCTACAGGCGTATGCGATAAAGTCGACAAGCAAGGCCACTGTCGGAGTGGACGAAAGCCTGGCGATACGGTCGACCGGCGGCTGAGTAAATTTCAAGGGCTGTGGCTTGCACGCGTTAAAAGAGATGCTTGATCCAACAGCAGCAGCCCCGTGGTCTTAGTGCGACACACACGGTGTTCGCAAGAAACTCGATAAACAGCATTTCTAACCAATAGAAAATTAAGTCCGCTGACGGTCTCGCTTTTTTTTTTTACCATAAACTTCATTTTCTGGCTAGCCGTTCGGGTTAGGAGAGTGATCAAAGCAAAAACTTAGAAAATGATTCTTAGTCTTCCAGTCTGAATTTCAAAGAACGCCATTGCTTTCAGGGTTCTCACTCTGAAAGGTTATTCCCTCTTGCCTATCCCCAGAAGATAAATTATTTCCATAACACACTGGGTTTGGAAGGGTGATGTGTTTTCACGAACTTTTACTCCCAAAGGAAACGGGAGCGAATTTGAACATTTGACACTGATAGTATCGAAAAAATACGACGGGAACGACATAAAACTGCACATAAAAATGTAGAAACCTTGGGTCAGTAACCAACACAGTCTATCCAACTACTTGACACAGGCCAGCTTCAACTATCGCGTTGTTTGTGAAAAAATATCGAGCAGTCATCATCATCACCAGAGGCAACGACAACAGTGATGACAACAATGCCTCACTGCCGGACAACCACAATTTTTTAAATTATACTTGAAGCTTTAAACTGAAAAAGAGAAACCAAAAGAGAAAAGAGTGGGTAAGAGAGGGAACTGGTGCCAGCTTACCACAAGCATTCTGGGATGCCTAGACCTCTAAGCGACCAATAAGACAGTACGGAAGGAAACTGACAACACGAACGCAACTAACATCGGTTAATCGCCGTTTCCGGAGACGACTCTAGCCAAAGGCAGGGAGGGGGTGAAGGGTCGTACCGTCGGATCGCACCATCTCTTCAACAAATCCATGGATTTGGACATTGCTCGATGTAAACACACTCGGATTTGAAAAATGAAGTACAGTGGTTGGACATCAGGATTAATCTGCCCTTTACAGTCTATGTTTTCCATTGGTGTGGTATGTAGTGTTCAGCAAGATAACTCATAGGACCAAAGTTCGTCAACACCTTAGAATACTTATTGTGGCTGTGACTCTTAGAGGATGGACCTTATCAAGTCAACATGTTAAGTTGATAGCTGTAAGACGTCGCAAGGTCGACGAACATCCAGGTATTTCATGCATCACAGTTTGGATCGGCGCAGAAAGATCCACGGGTATCTCGTCCTCTAAGTAAAGTAAATGTATGCTGAAAAGTGGAGCACATACTGCTGCCTCATCCTTGTTGGGGACCAGCAGCAGTGCTCATCTCACGAATATCCAGCGCTATTCGAACTCAAACCCCCCGACTAGTAGCTGGATGATAAACATCAAAGCACGAGTGATTGAGCAGCAGTTTGGTTAGCTCGAGGAGCTAGTCGACAATATGAACTACGTGATTGAAGGACAAGTTGAATTTCGGTAGACGCACACTGCTTATGATTCCTAACAAGGATGAAATAACCGCACGGTGCCTCTCGGCTTTCCAGCAAAGATTAGCTTCGTTTAGAGGACGAAATTTCCATTGGAAATTCCCAAGCCTCCTCACACGACCACAAATGCTCGCGGACTTCTCTCTTAATACCATTTTGTGGTCAAAGTGCATATGCTTCCCAAATTCAGAAAAACTCTCCAAACTGGAAATGCCTAATCATTCCTCCGTTGAGGAACACTTTTTCATTTCACCACATGTGGTCAAAGTGCATATCCTTCCCAAATTCAGAAAAACACTCTCTAAACTGGAAATGCCTAATCATTCCTCTGTTGAGGAACACTTTTTCATTTCACCACATGGCTTACTAGTTGATCACATGAGAATACGTTGACTGAAACCACCAACTCAAGCTCATCAGGAAACAACTTGGTAGGTGCGACTCTTTGGTGTTGACTGGAAATCGATCAAGAAGGAAACCTCAATAAACTGCTGTCGCTAGGTTCTAGGGAACAAAATTCGATAGAAACTGTTCCCTTGGACAGACGAAATGCCACTCGTGCTTCCACGAGTGGGTGCACGAGAGTCCAATAAACCGAGATCAAAGGTCACGTCAGCATCACCTAATCAGAACACAGGGTCAGAGATCGACGAACGAGGTCGCGTAAGCAGATAGCTAACCAAGACTGACGGCCAGCCTCAAGTATAGAAATATATGCACACCATTACTCAACACACATATGCAGACTCATCGTGCGGCTTCACTACAGGACGTACTGAGGATGTCACCTCGACCAGCTATGAATCATTGCAATCAAGTTGTCCAGCTCATCGGACAAAACATGAGCTACCAACATTCCCTTTCATACTGGGTCAAAAGCCCGCCCACTCTGGCTGGTAAAAAATACGCGGGATCAGGTTCGGCGTTAGGTATGGGGTATACCGAACAGGGGTTGTCACTTCAGAGGGTGGGAATAATTCCATAATTTGTCCCGGTGAAGTGTACATTCGACATCGTTTAGCTGGGTGTATGAGCGGAGTTTGTAAAAGGGGCATTCCTCGTTCGGCACCTTCAAAGCGTGCATTTAAAAAAGAGGGATATTTAGTCCTCAGATTATCGATCCACAACGTGTGTGAGCTTTGCTGCAACTGATAAGAGCTACACTCCTAGCGCAGCTCCGGTAAAGAGCTCATGCATTATTTGAAGTTACTGATGCTGGATAACTCTGTGATTAAAACATTATTTGGTTTGAACTGGAAACTCAACCAACAATCAAACGACTACCTCAGTAAGGATGTTCTTTAACTGCATATACAATCAAGCAACTGTCAATGAGCGCAACTAAGGGGTAATATTCGAGATATCGGAGCATTTTTCATCATCAGTAGCACTGTACGTAAGATATGCGTTAACCAATATTGAGGATGTACAGGAAGTGAGTCAACGGAAATCAATTGCTTTTAAAGATGCTGTCCAACTACTTGGCTCATCAGTAAGGAATCACCACGCAAGGATGTGGAGTTTCTTAGAGTCCACCTTCAAAAGTATACGATATTTCCCAAAGCAAGCGGTCTTGAAGGGCATAGGTCATTAGAGTGGAAGGCTGTGCACAAGGGATCTCGGAAACAACGAAGTTGCACTTATCGTGAAGTTTGACGTGATCCAAGAGATAAGGACCATGTTGTATTCGGCTTGCGCGTCCCAAGTATAAGAATTAGGTCAAATGTGATAACGAACTGTAACAACTTCTGAAAGCAATCCAGATATAGAATGCGAATTCCTAACGTGACATCACGGTAGTGGCTGGTCTTGAAGTTCAGACAAATCAAACTGGTTTTATCAGGACTAAGCAGACGTAAACTGTCTACCCACCAAGAGAGACTTGTGGAACTGTGAACTAGACGATTTGTTATATCCCTTTGCTATGATGTCCTTTCTAAGTTGGTGATTCACGATGGTCGGGGAACGTCAGTTAACTACTTCGAGGAATCTGCAACGGATGGGGAAAATGACCAAATCCGGAAGTCGCACTCCGAAAGTGAAGTCCAGTGCGTTGAAAAGGCGAGAAACGACGCGGAACTTTTATCCTCATTAGAAAACATACACAATGCACATCTCAGGAATCTCTAGGGTGATTCGAATCCATAACCTTGCGGACCGGTGTTCGAGTACAGCCAATCATCCACAGATAACCGACCAAAAACATGACTAGCTTGCACTTAGACAAGAGATCGTACAAGTGCTTCTTAAATCAGATAGGTTACACTAAGCGATCTAATGTTGCCTAGTTAATTGAACGAAAATTTTATAAAGAGAGGCCCTTACGACCTGTGGAATGCTTTCTTCTCTAAGCAAATTACTTACATTTTGTAGGTAGACAGAATATTCTGAAAACTCAAGTATCTTTTTTCCAGAAAATGCGGGAGACACCGTCGACCATAAGTTTATCGAGCGGCTTGCCGGTCAACTGAATTTCCAAATCCCCGCACGCACTGTTTAGTAAGGTGAGGTTATGTTCGCATATTCGGTGATTACGCAACCGTATGTTATCGGACCGAAATCACCGATTTGGTTGGGACGCAGAACCCGTAAACTACGGGACTGTTTTCAAAACTTTGTTACTATGGCGCAACAATAAGATTCGGTTCCAGGTCCCAGAGTCGCACTGCAATACAACGAAGACCAGTACGATGAAGGATCAGCTGCAACAATCGTTTCAGCCCAGCCATAGATTCACACTTTCAGTACGCTTTGCATTTTAGGCGTTATCAAAATTTTTTTGTGCACACAACTGCTGACCGTAGTCATAACGAGCAAAATGTACACCTGAATTTCTCCTCATAGTTTTGACGATATACTATGGCGCATAAGATTCGGTTCCAGGTCCCAGAGTCGCACTGCAATACAACGAAGACCAGTACGATGAAGGATCAGCTGCAACAATCGTTTCAGCCCAGCCATAGATTCACACTTTCAGTACGCTTTGCATTTTAGGCGTTATCAAAATTTTTTTGTGCACACAACTGCTGACCGTAGTCATAACGAGCAAAATGTACACCTGAATTTCTCCTCATAGTTTTGACGATATGGCGGACACGAGGTCGAATATTACGCTGTTTTTATCTCAGGGCAGATAGTAACGTATTGGTCGAACTACGTAGAATTGCGGGCTTGAATGCCTAAATATCGTCTGTCAGAGCTAGATACATACAGCTGAAAGTCCGATTCAATGAAATGACAAGTAAGCATTTGTTTGCTCGGAAATAATGGTCCCAGAAATTTATGAATATTATAATTTTCTCCATGCAAAAACAACTGTGCGGGTGGGACTCACCTACCACCTCCCCAGATTACAAGGACGTTAGGAATTCTTAAAATCTCGGTTTCAAATAGCTATCCGAAAATGTTGTTCTACTCCCGGTAACAGTTTCATTTGAAATACACTGCATCGCTGCTTGCATTGAAGGTCGCAACAGCGTCCAAGCTAGCTGACATTCGTCCTTCAGAAGTGAGGAATAATCTCACATCTCCGATTACCCAAAAACTTGCTACTATCCATCCTCACATGCTACGTCGGAGTTTGTTTATTTTAACGCACTCTTGAGTTGTGGTGCGGTTGCTGGAGTCCAATAGTATTCCTTCGTGTTGTTGGGGCAAACGGGAACGGGTTTATCTGCGACTTATTCGATCTAGGTCTATGTGGTATGTGGAGATTAGTTGACGGCGATTGACTCACTGCTGTTTTCGCTACAGGGAACACAAGGTATTAAAAGCTAAGACAGTTCGGCTTTATGAACGTGTATTCCTCCATCGTTTCTAATTTTTATACTTCTCAGAGTGAGGAATGAACGGCAGACAGGAGACATACCAGTAATTTGACAGAAAGGACAGCAACTCTGGTTGAGTGTCACCGCCGTTAGGACATCATGCGTATGGAAGCACGTTTACTGCTTTCGCAACGACCACAAAAGGGTCGAAACAACAGAAGTGCTTGTAAACACCTATGGAATACCTTACTTTATATACTAGGATAAAGTGCCACTGTACCTTCCGGTTCACCATTACCCTATGTAGACCAACTTATGTAGATCACCGGTAACAATGGTTGACATAGAACAGATAGACGCAGTGTAGGCAGTACCAGAACATTGCTGGCTACTATTCTACCCCATTGTATCAAGAGCGTATTGATCATTTGCTCTCATTCAATCAGTCACTTGCACAGCCTGGACGTGCACATTGGCCCCACGCACATATAAGTTCAGGCCGTCTGACCACAATTGCCCTGCTGCACTGTTTAACCCACTTGTGTTGATCCATGATTTGACTTGTACTTTTGTCAAATTTTCCAAAGGCAGTTCCGCCTTGCTTCTCATGCACGTGGGGCTGGATGTTAGAGAACAGCTCGAAATTAGACGTCACAATCGCAAACCCTAGTTTAAATGGTTCTAGTCATAGAAAGCGCGCACCCAGATAGGGCAATGGATGGAAAACACCTGCGAATAAAGCGAGAATTAGGTTATCCTGTCGAGGTACTGTTTGCCAGTTCCGTCCCGACTTAAAAGGGAAAAACGCATGGTTCGCACCACAGTCCAGCAAATAACGACGAAGGCTGATTTACTAACAGTCATTTGCCCGACTGACTAAATCAATCAACGAACGAACGGCTATGAGTGATCGACTTAAGTGCATGCACCGCAGCCGGTCTTCAACGCGAGGAACAAGCAATGTTAACAACAACTAAATAAAATGTTCATTGAAAGTAATTTTAGAAGGATTCAAACAAAGCGGTCTGATTGGTGGCCATATGCGACGGGGATGTAGAAGTTCAGTGAGAGGAAAACTTTCAACAGCCGTACTGACGAGCGTAGTGGGTCGAACAGAATGTTCGGTGGTGGTACAGAGCTACCATTGTTGTTTTTTCACCTGTGTCGCGTGGCCTGATATCCCTGCATATCGTATGGCAGCGGTTGATGACCAAGAAATTCGAGTGCAGGGACTTTGTCATGAGAATGAAACTTGCGATATCAATAAGCCGCGAAGTTATCATCTGTGAGCTTGATCAAAACTCTATTCTTGTGTGATCGAGAAGCACCAAAGGGAATAATATTTTCCAGAAAAACAACTCAGCTGAAAGTCAGTAAATTTGACGTTCGTAGAACATGTTCATAGGAGAAAACCTATAACTTCACTTAGTTTTCCATCCTCCATCGCCTACTCAAGTGCCCGCCTCAAGATGCTGACGAATATCTCTATCTGGCCATGGGGCTAAGGACTGCATATTCGACTACAGACGGTATAAGTGGCTAAAAAATAACCAAAACTCACCAAATTCGGTTGAGTCTCAAGTGCCCGCCTCAAGATACTGACGAACATCCCTATCTGGCCATGGGGCTAAGGACTACATATTCGACTACAGACGGCATAAGTGGCTAAAGAATAACCAAAACTCACCAAATTCGGTTGAGGTAAATTGTGAACTGTCATTATATACGAAAAACTTCGGGGGTGTGTCAAGCTGTAAAATTCGTGTTTCATACACGAACACAAACGCAGTAATACGACGTGGAAAACATCCACAATGTCCAGGGGTAAAAGATAAAGCGTTCAGCTGTAGCACCCTTCCGGTGCCTAGCTGCCATGCCACCCGAAGGAAGCACGAGGGCTGGGATACTGCCAGGTTGCCCAAGCCTAGACAGGGGAAGTCGAGTGGCGGAGGTCGGATTCGAACCGCGGACCTTCAGGTTAGTAATCCGCGCTCTAACCACTTCGGCCATCTCGCCCCCAAGGTCCAGGTGTTGGTTTCGAGAGATCGAGTGAAGCCCTACCTCATGGTGTGAGAGGTACTGTAACATGAGAACATTTTCCGCGCAATTTAACCCGCTGTTCGTCAGTCTGCTCCATGTGAGACTAGCACCCAGGTCCACATTGGACTTCATATAGTTTATCCTTGGCTAGTCAGTCGNGGACCCTGGTTGACAGTCAGTTCACAGAACAACAGAACCATCAACAACTGTGCTGACGTTACCCCTGATCAAAAATGGTTTATGCTCTCATGAATATTATGCTGCGGCGGCACATAACGAGTTACTTGCAGTATCGTGGAGGTAACGGTTTAGTTGTTTAGTGGGAAAAAGCTATTGGATATCAGTACCAGCTTCTAGTTAGGAGATTACTGCTTCTTGCTTGGATTGAACACAGTTGCATCAGCAGGACAAAACTTGTTCGTAGCCCCATGCACGGGAATACCCGTTCCAGAAGAGGGATGTGTATGGATAAAAGTGACTGTCCGTTCGTAAGAATGTGAATTTTCGTCCGTCCAACAATTTGTGGATTTTTATCATCATAAGGACCAGAACTGGTTCTTTTTTTCAATCTGATTGTAATATTGCCCCCCCCCCCATTGAAAAACATAGGGGCTAAGTCAAGTCGATTTTTAACGTCCATCTGGGAACCGTCGTAAACGTGCCACAACGACACTGCTCACAAAAGCGTAAGAAGTCACAATCAAGGACAGTTCGGAATCATAATGCGTCAACAAAAGGCCTCATATCACAGTATTTTTGACAGACAGATGCAGCCCGAAGTCTTCGGGAACTGTTATGGGTGAAACACGCCACTCAATCTCGTACAGTAGTCACAAAAAAGTCAATCTGAGCCATGTATCCTTCTAATCTCGGCTATTGGCCTCGTCGGGCCAAAAGACTGATCCTTGTTAGCACAACCGTATTTTCTAGCTGAGCGTTTCAGAGCACGACACCACACAGGTCACGCATAATTAACTTTTGTGGGAAAAAGTCTTCATAATTTGGGCCTAGAGTTCGAAATAGATTAACATAGAGCTTTGAAACAACTGTCCTTAAATTTTCTAGTCATCGAGGCTAAGTATGTCGATTACATAGGATTTACAGGAACACCTCATAGATGTAAATACCTTATCCAATCGATACCAGGTAAACTAAGTGCAGCAAAGTACGGAACCACAATGACGACGAACAGCAAACTGGCAAGGAAATATTTGCGTTTCATCCCATATTTTCCAACAATCAGTTAGTCAGTTAGTTGATCAGCTATAAACTAAGTATCAAGTATACGTTGGTTCCAGCTGCTACGGTTCCGGTCATCTGAAACTAGGAAAATATGGCCCACGATTGTGCATTAGGTTTGACATTTCGAAGTCGCGTGCCTTCCACTAAGTGATTTGTAAATTTGGCTTCGCAAGAACGGTGCGTATGAATAGCTGTTTCTTATGGTGAATTTAGTCCCGAAAAAAAAAACATACGATCCTTCAGCTGATTAGTTTACTCAAGACATTCACATTAACTGCTGATTAGACCAAAGTAGGGAAATCTCGTCAAATGTCTCGTGGTTAACTACTGAGAGGATTGTTTCGATTGTCCGATCAAAAGTGGAACTCAAGCGAATTTTAGGTAATATAAAGCTGTACTACTCGGCTGCATGAGAAGTGGTACATTAGCAGTCCCGTTCACAGATGATGCATCGACTAAGAAAACTTCCCCGTAGAGTTTATATCATGCGGAAAATATGGTACTCACGTCGCGAGTGCACACAAATCCTTGAACACCCGATGTTAGAGTCTCCTTCAGAGTAGGTTCAGCCAGAGAAGTCGGATGTGAAATAGTTAGCATTTGAAGGTGGAGAGCGAAGACTCCAAATAAACGCGCGCTTTCCTGCTGTTGCTCCTGGAAATACTGTCGTAGTTATATTAACACCCAAAGTGCGTGTTCCGCTATCCCAAGCACCACTTCTTTGTCTCGACTTGAATGGGAAAACATTTGGTTCGCCAACGACGTCTGATGTACCACAGTCCAGTGAAAACCGAAAAAAGCCTGAGGGCAATCTGCAAAGTGAATAAAAATCGGTCACTCGACTGAACGAATCAACACAAGAAAATAAGCAGTAAAGGAGGAAATAAGAATGATCGATACACATGCTTGCATCACTGTAAGATTTATACGAAACGTAGGCGGTGGTACCGATCAGAGTAGCCAACCCGCGTGCACGCTTTTTAGGATTAGCCAGTACGACGTGATCAAGGCTGACATTCTCCACTAATATCAGGTGGTCTGCACAACAGTTCTTATCATTGAGGCGGCGTCATCCTGCAGCCGATTTGGAGCCTGCTCGAGCATATACAAGAACGTACACTCAAGACGCGCCCGTGTCCTGTTAGCATGAGAAACCTCATTTCGCGGTCCGAACTAAATACCTCTCTGTAATGTAGGTAAATGTCTGTGTAGACATCGATAAACCTCTAGCGCAATCGGTTACGACCTGTTTGCTCCAAATCTATGCCGGTTTGTTCGTTTTTTAAACGAATTACCCTAAATACTTACGGAGGCATCCAACAACTAACGTGCCGCACATAACAATCACCCAGCAACTGTTACCATAACCCGTTAGTCACGTTTCAGGAGTGGTTAGCTCGCACGTACGTCACCGCATCATGCCAGGGACACGGTGAACTGGCACTTCCATCCCGTAGGCTAGCGTAACACAGTGATAGAACGTGATTCGCATTTCCCGTCGGACGCGAATTTGAGGAGCCCGTCCGAAACAGCTTAGTCAAAATGACAACTGTATGCCATTGATGATGAAGGACGGTGCATCTATTTACCAGATGGTAGTCCTCATTATCAGCGCAGAGTAAATCTGATGGCATTTCGCACCTACGGGAAACAGTGAGTTCTGGCTGGAAAGATGAGTTGGCCAAGGACACAAATCAATATTAATGAGTGCGTAAACATGATTGCCGGAAAACGGACATCGCACATATGCCTTTTCTTCAAGGTGGGACAAAGATTGTAATCTGGAAGCCAGAGGTGTAAACAACGTGTAAGGAGAATTGGTGGCTCACTTGAATGTTCATAAACGGATCTTTTTATGCATAGTTGGACATCAGTGCCATCATTCCATCTATGAGCGACACCTTACAAACAACACATAGGCGAAATTTGTGATTTAACATCACCACTATAATTGTCGAAAGTACATTAGCGGTCAATACTGATGCTTCGCTGCCGTACAACCATAATTTATTTGGAAGCCTTATTGCGAAGAGAAGAATCCAACAGGGTGAAGCCTAGTTCTAGCCTCTCCCTAGACATCCATCTTCAAGCGATCTGTATAGAAACTGACAAGAAAGCCACTGAAATCGATTAGCAACCATAACTTGCAGCTTACGAAGCACAGTGAGGATCTCGCGGTCCCCATTCTGGAAGGCGAGTCGCACCGACAACACCCCACACTTTCCGTAATTTCTTTCATTTACGTACGGCGATTATAGCAACTAACGAAGCATGAAGATGTGATCAACGCAATCTCTATTGGGTCGAAATCCCACTTGCAGCTGTCGATTCAATGCTTCACAGACCACAAAAAGACGCCGAACGATAAGTGACGACAAGATTCTCGTTGAAACCTGAGCCAAGCCAATTCCTATGTGATTACCGCACTGTTACTGATTCTCCCCAGTTGTATGGGACAGCCTCACTTCACCAAATAGAGACAAACAGCTCAAACTGATTCAAGATCCTTTCACCTTCTGAACAGGTGGGTGTTCGGTGGCGGTTCTGGTAAGCTGCGCAGTCATAAACCCCCGAGGGTGTGGAAGGGGACGTGTTCACTGTCCAGGGTTTTGTTACAGTTCAATAATCCGACTGTGGCAGCAGGTGACAACCAGAATGGTTGTTAAAAGTAACGCATTGATCATTTAAGATTATCTTCTGGCATTCCCGGCACTTTATACCTTAGCACATCCACCAGGTTTCACGGTCGGCACACAAGATAAGTTCCACTTGGCACCAGATAATCCTTCGAGTTCAGGACCGGGAGGAGCATTTCACACGATTCAAGCAGCACCACTTTTTGTCTGATATCTGGTGTTTGAATGGAGCTGCCGGTGTCGTGCTGCGAGTGAAACTCCCGGCACTGTGAAAGTATATAACGATTTCCTTCAATTGCTAATTAGTATCCGCCGATAGGACAGCTGGAAGAGAGTCCACAAGATGGTTCTGATAAATTCACTTAACTTCGGGATCCGTGATGTTCTCACTTGCTAGGCAAGTTGCACGCTACTTATACAGCTCCAAAAAGTGAACACAGAAGTGAATCCGGAAGAGNCGTTGTCGAATCCACAGATGTTCCCAAGCAATTATTGAACCACACCATTGATAACTGGAAGTGATGTGATCAGTATTGGTCTGCGACTGACACTGTCAGAGGGCGCTGTTTAGCCAGATGGCTTCAGTTATTTCGGAAGTTAGTGATACATAAAAAATCTGCGGTAGGCACACGGCTGGAACAGTCGTTTGCCGTTGCCCGTACGTACCGAGTCCGATCCAAGTTGGCTACTCAACTGAGTCTCAGATACGCTAAGCATGCTCACATGTGTATTCGAAACCCCGGCAACCAAAGCGATATATGAGCTCTTAGGTTGCCAGACCAGCGCACTCAAGGCATCATAAAAGATGCCTTGTTATCGTTCTGTCGACGAGCACCTGTGATTTCCTATCTCATTCTGACTTCAAGTCAGAGGGGATCTCTCACGAAGTTGCCTTGTTATCTGTCGACGAGCACCTGTGATTTCCTATCTCATTCTGACTTCAAGTCAGAGGGGATCTCTCACGAAGTTTGGCCAAGTCATTCAGCGGTTAACTAGAACTCCCACTCAAGCAATGAGACACATAGGCCTCATTGGTGACCACTGTTAAATATAGGAACTGGAAACTTGAAGCAGGTCAATGTGAGTCACCGTGAGAAATGGCATAAGTTAGATGGAATCCAGGAGAAGCTCACAAACGAAAGCAGGGCTGTGAAACAACGTACAACTTGTGGTAAATCAAAAGCGTAAAAGAACTTCCGAAGGACAGGGGCAGCATTCTACTGGAAAATGAAACTTGATTGCAAAAAAGCGAACTCCCTCCAGGAAGCAGCGCGAAATTTGACAGAGGATGGATACTGGAACACAAACTAGTTCCCTATGGAGTGTCTCAGCATGATGGATAACTACTAATGGCAAGAAAAAGATCAAGGACGTTGTGCTGAATAAACGTACCAGAGGATTAGCATTTCAGCGCACCTTCAACAATTCAGGAGTTCATGACTGCTTGATTCGTTGGAGCAGGCATTTACCGAGATCATACTTACTACCGATTTATTTGGCACGTGCTCGGAAAGTAGCAGAGTTTAACGCAGTAGGACTTCGAGGTCGCCATAAAAGGATCCACTAAGTGCGTGTGTGCTCGTAATTTGACTGAAGTGCAGTATTGATCCGCAGCGAAGCTATTCTGAATAAAAGACACGCTGTTACCAGAGCTATTTTCCAAACCAGAATTCGGCTCAAGAATACACTGCCTCTCAAAAATACGTCCAAAGAATTCTGAACTTTGGGAGAGTGGGAGAAAACGTGCAGAGCAGAAAGACTGTCAAAAATGAAACGAAAAATTCTGGGAAACGCTTGGAACCGATTGAGGAGTCACCGTTTTCATGTAAGTTGTGGAAACAATAAATTTATCGATATTTTCACTCACAAGTTTGCTTAAAACTTTTCGACAGTCCACGATCGGCTTCGCCATTCTTGGGATTCAAACTCGGTCCCCGAGTTTCGGTCAAGCCTACGTTCTAACTGAACCCAAACGAGAGATGCAGCTGGAATTCAGGTGACTCGCCCATCAAAACCAAATAGATACGCAAGTGAGAAGGGCAAAACCAGCCCTAGGGATATCGAAGAGTTTTCAGCAAACTTGTGAGTCATACGCAAGTGAGAAGGGCAAAACCAGCCTAGGGCTATCGAAGAGTTTTCAGCAATCTTGTGGGTAGTTTCTTTTATGAAAATACACTACGATATCCCGAATACCGTACCAACTGAAACATGAGGCGGCCTTTGTAGGGCACATTTGGTTGAAGAATATCATAAACGGGAGATTCAGTTGATTCTACGGTGAAAACCAGATTGGTATGCAAATGAGTGTATTTGTTAAAATCTACCGACTGTTTCCGAGACGTATAAGATTCAGTTCATATGGCTATTGAAAAAAAGGGGATTCACCGTTCAGCTGTTCAATCAAATGCGATGAAGATATTTCACAAAGTTGCGTTGAAGAATACAGTGGCAAACAATGGACATTTCTACAAACTGCATTTAGAGGCTATTTCACATTCAACTCGAAAGGAACTCCGCTGAACCAGAAAGACGCAAATCAGATGCAAAAATGCAACTCTTCTTTCCTTCCATTTTTCACAGTTTGTGACAATTGAAAAGGTTACATAAGTAAGGGGAGGTGAACACTCATAGCTCCTTGTCTGTCACCAGCTCTTAATCACCATAAGCATGGACTAGTTCAACTAGTAAACACAGAAAATTCGTGGGGATAGTTTAAGATATGTGTTAATTACGTGACGTAATTATTTGTTTCCCTATTCCTCAGACTAGTTCATCACCCTTCCGTGACTGCTCAAGTTTCAAGACTGAGCCGACTCTACCTCAACCATTTCTATAGACGATTTGTTTACATTTATCCATGGACTTGTTGAAATTTTGTTCCACTTTGAACTGAACAATTTTCCCGCTTAATTTGTCCGATAGCACGCTGCCCTTCGTGTGCCATCCTGTGTTGCTAACTGCCCAAGGTTCAATCTAGCCGTAAGCCTTTCTTTAACTCTCCTCATGATTTACTGTTAAGTTCCTGCATAACCACGGTCTACCTATCTGTACTGTCTGCCCAAGTCCAATTCAATATATTGTTCACTGCCCAATTGCGACTACTGAACAAACGCAGGTGAAGTTCTTAGAATTCGGTTTCGCCGCAATTACTACTGACCGTCCGTTGGTGAATTAGAC